GCATTCTAAGCTCTTTTATTGCTGGCGCAGGAGATTTTTTGACCATTTCACTGTCCACTGCACAAATGAAATTGTGTCCGGACGGAGAGAACACCCTTGTAGACTTGAGACTTTAATTATTGCGAAGAAAAGTTTCGCAGTGTTTTACTGCCTCTAGTTTTTTGTTAAAAGCAGAAAATTGGAAAGGACTGCAGGAAATTAGGGTAGACGGTGTAGAAGAAACCGCTGGGATATTAAGCAAGGTGGCGAAATTAGGAAACTGGGAGGAGTAAGTATACTGAGTGGTGGTAAAATGCTGCACGTGTTACGGTCAAAAAGGTAATGTGGCCATTAACATCAACAGCCGGTTAAGATCGTAAACGTCTCTTAAAAAACCACAACATTAGTCGGACATTATCCCACTATCGTAATGATTGTTAAATGACAAGAAATTTGAATAATTTCCTCGGAGATTAAGTACAAATTTCTAAAGATGTCAATGTACACGCGGTGAATGTGTGGGGATTAATCTAATAATTCTAGAAGCTAACGGGGAAAAATTTAATCACACTGCTGCCTTAATGCCACTTTATTGTACAAGGGAGCATTGTAACAAGGTCATCGAAGCTTGTGGAATACGAAAATGCAATTGTCGGTGTCGAGGACTTTATTAGACTTTACGATTACACAGGTGATAAAACTTTAACTATTATTTTACAAAATTTAAATAAGTCGCAAATATAGGACATTGAAGCACGGTTTATGAAGTAATCATTTGACATGACGTCATCAAGGGATAAACAGATACGTTTTTCTTAGCGATTTACTTACTATGTCTACGACAACCTTAAGATTTCAGAGCAATTCATTTTGGATTTCCTATTAAAATAAATTTTCAAATTTTCTCAACAATTTTGAATTCTGGTACAAAATAGGTACTAGGTAGCATATTATTTTATGATAATTTAAATAGGATTTACTAGTAAAAATCATCTATGCAGTAGTCTCAAAGTACTTACCACAGCAATTGGGCAAGTAATTTCGGAGATTACGTCAGACCAGGTAAAGTTAAGTCAGGTCAGGCCAGATTTTCTCAATTCTGTCAAGCCAGTTCCATAAGTCAGGTTAAGCCACATCCGGCTAGGACACAAGTTAGGTGAATAAGGGCAAATCTGATCAGGTTAAGTCAGGTCGGGATCAATTCAGTTTAAGTTGTTTCAGACCAGGTTAGGTCAGGTCATATCATGTCAAGTGAGGCCAGATCAGGTGAGGTTAGTTCAGTTCAATTTAGCTAGGTCAAGTTAGGCGAGTTCAAGTCAATTCAATTCCGGTCATGCCGAGTCAAATCCTCTCCTTGATAGTGACTTGGTAATAAAATCTGGGTCATTTCGAAAAAGTGTTTATGGAGAAAATACTGTATAAGTGTTACGAACATTCTGTGACAGAAACGAAGTAGTTAAAAATAAAAAAAAATGTCGACGAGGGTAGGATTCGAATCCACGTGCAGAGCTCAACTTGCTCAGTTTAATATTACACACAAATTTTTGTAAAGAAACTGATGAAAAATCATTGCGGATTCATAAACCACAAGTACAGGAGTACGTTATTTGGTAAGATTTACATAGTAATTAATAATCAAAATGTTAACGTTACGCCATCAAGTTGTTGGTGGGGATGATTAGACAAATTTTAATTGGCGTCTACACGATATTCCTAACATACATTTAAAATTTGACAATAATGGGTATAGTAGTTTTGGAAATCATCAGTCGAATAAAAATCGACACGGATGATACACGGCAGATAGACGACACATACACGGAAATGGAAGACCTATTGTTTCATATTCTACGAGTAAACGGCGCGAAACCATGAAAAACTCCATTGGTAAAATATTGGTTATCAATAAATAATACGTGGTGTGCAAGAACATGGACAAGAAAAGTTAAGGGATTTTCTTCTTATTTTCTGCTTATGTTTTATGTCACTGGCGGGTAAATTATATTTAATACAAATGCTAACATAAACTTCTGAATCGACGGTGAACTAACTATATAAAATGTGATGGAAAACACTTTGATTCACAGTTGGCTTTCAATAGAGTATAGCGTTTGACATCGTTGAAAGTAATATAATAAATAAATAATAATAAGAGTGATATTTAATGATCCAGTATCGGATTGAGGACATGGGGGTCCACAGTGAAATTTACAAAGTGTATACAGATGTTGTTTGGGTATTATTACTATTATTATTTTCAGCTTTGCCGCCGACATTGGCGTTTTGAAAAAACTATGCTGTTTTACCAAAAAAATTGTGGAAAGTTATTTTGACATAACTTCCCTCGCCCTTGAAGCATAGTCCGACAAATTCCGCTTCTTTAAAAAATTATAAAATTTGATTTTGCGATTATCGTTTTGTGATAACTGTTAACAAAATGGTGTAATTAACATTGCTGCACTCTTGTGTCTTTAAATATGAAATACATACAAAGCAGATAAAAAAATATAGGGAAAAATATAGACATTCTCAATTTCTCAGTACTTTTAGCACGTTCAGATTACTAGCACCAGCATTTAAAAGAAACTGAAATTTGGTTAATTTTGTGTCCTCAACGCAGAGGAAAGAACACAAAACAATCTTAAAATAGCCTCATGATTTCACAGATTCGGTTTTTGCAATTTCAAAGTTAAATTGTAAAATATTGTAAGACAGTATTGATTTTTTTTTCAAAAATCTGGATGCTAAGGGTAAAAAATCAACAAGTTATTTGATAAAATTTAAAGAACATTTGTTCGGTAGAATTCTAAGATAACGATTAATCTTCTTTAGACTAGAATTTTGATTTTTTTTTGACAAAAATCTCGATATCTAGGGAAAATTCAGCACGGATTTTAAATTACACATACATAGAGTATGTAATTCTATAAAATTTAAGGAACATTTGTTCTGCAAAATATGAAATGACGTCATAATTTTTTAGAGGCCATAAACGAAAAAAATTTTACTAACAAAATACCATGTTTACAATAATCTTAAAAAGCTTGCAAATTTGCAAAGTTAAATTGTGAATTGTTGTTATACAACTCTCATTTTTTTCTCAAAAATCTAGACGTCTAGGGTCAAACTGGACACGGATTCATGAATCACACATACAGGAGTATGCAATCCTATAAAATTAAATATATATAATACCAAAAAAGGGGCAAATAAGTAGTAAGCAAAATGATACGTTTCACCATTTCATTTTATTTTTAAATTTATTATAAGGTGCTTTATTATTTTTGTTTTTAAGAAAGCAGACCAGTATTGATTTTGAAGAGGTTTGTTTTTTTTTGTAAAAATCTCAAAGTCAGCGGTTTCTATAATGATCCGCTGGAATCATGGTCAAAATGTTTTTAAGTCCACAACTTAAGAAAAATGAAATGTTAAAACAGCAATAAAAAACTTCAACGTCAAAACTGGCCTGTTTGCTTAAAAAAAAATTATACAGGACCTTAAAATAGATGAAAAAACAAGTAAAATAATAGCTTAAATAGATGAAAAAAAAATGAATGAAACGTACCATTTTACTTTTTACCGATTTCAATTTAGAAATTTCATCTAAAACATCCCATAAATAATAATCCTTAAATCCGAGTCATTCAGATGAGAATTGGATTTGAAATAACAAACAATGCTTTTGGAATCATCAAAATTTATCTTTGGTAGATATAAATTAAAGAATATTTATTCGGAAAAATTGTAAAATGATGTCCATTATTGTTCTACAGGAACATAAACGAAAAAACAATTGATTAACGATTTAGCATGCTTACGATAACCTTAAAACGTTTGCAAAATTTCAGAACATACTCGTAGGAGTATCTTACTTTATAAAATTTAAATAATATTTACTATTGTAAATTTTGGAGATGACGTCAACAAATTGTTGGTAAGGATGATTAGCCAAATTTTGATTAGCGTTTTACCATCTACAAGATATTCGTAATTCACTTATAAAATTCGACAACTGGTTTAGTAGTTTCGGAGTTTATCTCTCTAATAAAATTCCGGACAGACGGCAGACAGACAGAAAGACCGACAGATAGACAGACAAACAACCGAAAACGCGAGGTCTACTTTTTCGCATTCTTGGGGTCATGAAACGTCGAGAAAACCTGAAAGTAGTCATTTGTTGGATGGACCCTTTGTTAGCTCGGGAACTAAAAATCGAAAAACCTTTTCGAAATTCTCCAAAAAAATGTTAAATCGAGCCCTAGTCGACTGAATAGAAGTGTCAGCTCACGGAGAATTCTGAGAGTCTGCCTGAAAGCAGATATTTTAGATAATTTTTGCTACAGTTCTTCAAACACCCGAGGAAAACGAGAAAATATTTTTCACGAATTTTCAGAAAAAATCAAAACAGACTATTCCTATGGAAAATATTCTGATTTAGAGAAAATTATTTCAAATTTTAAATTTAAAGAAATGTTTGATCCAGCTCTGAAAACAGCTAAGAAAAACCGGATTATACACATTTTTTCAAGAATTATTATTGTCTTACAAAACGCATTTTATTCTAGTGGAATGAAATGCTAATTTACAAATATTCTCCGAAAAAATTTTCAAAAAAAAATTCAGGGACGAAGGCAGTTCTGTCAGTCAAGAGCATAGCAGCATTTTTTTTTATTTTAGTGTCAAATGACAGACTAATCTAAATTCACACACTACATGTGACTTTAGAACACTTATTTCTATAGTGACGCTATTTAGTTTCCAGAACACTGACTAGCAACACGTATCTAAAGATGTCCACGTTTTATTAGTGACAGTAATTATTATTGGTTCTTATCTTTTTTTGAGACCATGTGCTAGACTTCTTAAGTCATTGCAGTTAATACTGAAGTTAATTTTTAATTGACATGAGGCAATCTATTTTTTCAAGTTAACCATTTCTGTTATACTTTCATCATCAAATAAATCGATAATTAATTGCTCCCCGAAATTTCATTTTTTTCCTCAGCAAAAACACGTCTCCACACTTTAAATTTCATTCGTTGCAAATTCTCCTACTTTCGCCAAGGGTTTACTGCATCAAATCGAATTTACCAGTTTTTATTCCAAGGATAGTGACTTTGCTGACCTTCATTTCCAACAATCCAGCAAGAACAAAATCATCGAAGTCGAAAAAACTCGAATTCGGCAGACACGTCTCTTTTTTATTTGCCGTTCCTGCCAGTTTTGATCTTTATAGAAAGAACATCCATGCGGGCGTGCCGAAAATGCGGCTTGCAGGATTATACAGTGGATCGGCACTTCCAAACATCATCCTGCAACGTCGGCAGGAAAGCCGTTGTCGGACATTCGGATGGATGTTTCTCTAATTCGCACTTTGCTGTTTTGCTCGAAATTTCCGATTCCCTGGAGGAACAACCCCTGATGGATCCAGGTCACGAAAGCCTCACTAATTACTACTTGCTTTCACAAAATAGTGGCAAATGCCTGGCAGGAATCTGTCGATAATGGTCAAGTTTTCGCCATTAGCAGCTTTATTGTTTCAGACTACGTAAACTAATAATATGCTAATCTTTTTTTTTAAACAATCTGACATTGTCTTGTTTATGACTAGGAGAATCTATAACTTATAGGTACGCCGATAAAATTGGACTGCCCCAAGTAGAAGCCAACGCCTTTGTAATCATCCCACCCACCGCAGGTAAGAGTTTTTGCCCAGGGAGTTCTCAAAGGAATCTCGCCGCCGCCGCCACCACGGCTAACGACCCTTGCAAAACTCGTCCGGCAACACCTCTTTGAATCATCCCGTTGTCTGGTAAAGTCTATTGTTTCCACTGTTCGCGCTCTGTCTAGACTTGTTTGTTTCAAGATGATCGAAAGGTTCTTGGTTATGCACCTGTGGAGAAACACTGTGAAGTAGGCAGCGGTGATTGTTTTGGAGTTTGACCGGTTACTTGCAAGAACCCATTATTATGCTTGGCTATGTTTTGTATCTTGTTATTCTGATTGCACTCGGTTTGGTACTTAATAAGCATGTAGGATACGTACACGTTCACGTTGACCGACATTGGCTCTGATCCAGTTCGAGGTAATCGCGGTTCTTTGAAAGATGATGGATCATGGCGGTTTACCTGAAACAAAAAGGGAACATACAGCTGGGTTGTTAATTTGATGACTTATCATATTTTAGATCGGCGCTTTTAGAGCTTATAAGAGCCGTGTGTTCGCAGAATGAGAGGAAATATTTGAAATAATGTGGTTCTATAACGGTTTGTTCTCGGGCTAATAATTCTTTTTCTCCTAGACTTTGTTGTCTCTAATTCAGTTTTGAATTAACTTAAAGTTAAAAATATCTTATGTATGTCAAAATGTAATGTGTATGTTTACAAATAGGAGTATTTGTTTAATAATAATTTCAAGTGTCGCTTCTAAAATAATGGATAAAATAAATAGGTATAACTTATTTTTAGAACGTTCTCTATATAACACAAGGACCATCGTTAATCATGTTTTTTTTTTATTTTGGTGAAATTTTTCATGGCGTATTTTTTTATAATCAATATCTCAGTTATTTTTGGAAATTTCGGAACGCGGTTTTCGCCACTGTTTTCAGCCTAAAAACTCTAGAAGTCTAAACACTACCAATGAAAAATTATCGACTTCTTTTGTTGGAAATGAGATACAGTAAAAGCAGTTTGTGACGAAAAAAAAAAGAGTGCAACACGTCGTAAGAGGAAGTGTTGAAAAATAGGGCTACAGAAAAGTTGCCTAAAATTCCATTAAAAAATTGTCGGATATGGATCGCTACGAACTGATTCGTTTGTAACGTCCAACATTTACGAGATATTCGCTAAAAAGTCCAATTATTATTTAAAAATTCTAAAAATTGCGAAATTTCATGTTATCGATACGGAAAAATGGCCCCCATTTTATTTTTCCGTATCAATATTTTGGAAGAAATGAAGTCGAAAATAATTTTCGAAAATTGAAATCTATTACAAAAATTCTTTGGGTAATTTTCGAAGATTCTCAAAAAAAAGTCAAAAATTTCATACGGGATGGTACTTCTGTTTTGGAATTTGAAATCTATAAAAAATATTCTTTAAGTAATTTTGGAAGATACTGCAAAATTGGGCTTTTGAAATAGTTGGCTAAAAATGAAAAAAAATTCCGGCGTATAGATCTCGACAATATATGGTCCTAGACCAAGATTTACGAAATATTCGCTGTGAAAAACCGAATTTTTAAAAATTCTAAAAATTGCGGAACTTCATGTTATCGATTTATAAAAATGGTGGCAATTTTCCACGAAATGAAGCAAAAAATAATTTTTTGAAATCGAAGTCTATTAATTTTTGAAGGGGCTTAAAAAGGGTAAAAATTTTATACACGGGAGTATTGAAAAATTGAGTCTTGGTTGTCTAAAATCTATAAAAAAAAAATGTTGGATATGTATCTAGATAAGCTAATTTGAAAAGTTTGTATGGTCCTGAACCAAGATTTGCGAGATATTCTTTATGGAAATCCAGTTTTTTAAAAACCCTAAAAATTCCGAAATTTCATGTCATCGATCGATTTGGAAAAATGGTTGCAATTTTATATCTATAAAAAAAAAACTCTTCAGGTAATTTTTGAATGTGCTTAAAACAGAATAAAAAAATTCATACCGGAGGGTACTGAACAACTGAGATTTTGGAAAATTTGACTAAAAATCAATAAAAATTCTAGAGTATAGATCTCGTCGAACTGATTCGGAAAACATAACATTTGTTTGGACCAAGATTTACGAAATATTCAGCTATAGGAATCCTATTTTTTAAAAATTATAAAAGTTGCGAGATTTCATGTTATCGATTTGGAAAAATTGGAGCAATTTTCGAAAAAATTAAGACAAAAAAAAGTTTTGGAAATCGAAATCTAAAAAAAAGCTTAAAAAAGGGTAAACATTTTATATACGAGGGTATTGAAAAATTGAGTTTTTGTTGCCTAAAAGTCCCTAAAAATTTTTTGGATATGTATCTCGACAAGCTAATTTGAAAAACATACAGTTTACATGGTTCTGGACCAAGAGTTGCGAGATATTCGCTATGGAAACCCATTTTTTTTTATTCTAAAAATTGCGAAATTTCATGTTATCGATTTGGATAAATGGTGTCAATTTTCGAAGAAATGAAGTCAAAAATAACTTTTGTAAATCGACATTCATAAAAAAGCTCTTTCTGTAATTTTCGAAGGTGCTTAAAAAAGGGTAAAAATTGTGAAAATTGTGTACAGGGCAGTATTGAACAATTCAGCTTTTGGAAAAATTGACTAAAAATCCATAAAAATTTTTAAAAATTCTCAGAATTGCGAAATTTCATGTTATTGATTTAGGAAAAAAAAAATCGAAAACAACTTTTGGTGATCGGAATTTATAAAAAAAACTTTGGGAGGTGCTCGAAAAAGGGTTAAAAAATTCAAACGAAAGAGGTATTGAAAAATAAACCTTTGGAAACGTTGCCTCAAAATTCATAAAAATTCTGGGCTACAGATCTCGACGAACTGATTCGAAAAGTATAGCATCTTTGTGATCTTGGACCAAGATTTACAAAATATTCGTTACGAAAATTGAAATTTTGAAAAAAAATCTAAAAATTGCGAAATTTCATGATATCGATTTGAAAAAATTGTGCCAATTTTCGAACAAATTAAGACGAAAGTAATTTTTGGAAATCAAAATTTATATATAAAACTGTGAGTAATTTTTGAAGGTGCTTTAAAATTCTTTACGGGGGAGTATTGAATAATTCAGCTTTTGGAAAAGTTCCCTAAAAATCCACAAAACTTCTAAAATATAGATCTCAATGAGCTGACTCGAAAAGAAAAATGTGATCTCCGCTCAAGATTTGCGAAAACGTACTTTTGAAAATTTTAAAAATTGCGAAATTTCATGTTATCGATTTGAAAAAATGGTGGCAGTTTACGAAAAAATTAAGCCGAAAACAACATTTGGAAATCTAAATTTGGAAATAAAAATTCTTTGTATAATTTTCGAAGGTGCTGAGAAAATGATTAAAAATTTCAAACGGGAGGATATTGAAAAATTGAGCTTTTGGAAACGTTGTCTAAAAATCCATAAAAAATTCTAGGGTATAGATCTCGACGAATTGATTCGCAAAATATAGAGTTTGTATGGTCCTGGACCAAAATTCACGAAATATTCGCTATGAAAATGCCAATTTTTTAAAAACTCTAAAAATTGCGAAATTTCATGTTATCGATTTGGAAAAATGGTGGCAATTTTCGACGAAAAGAGGCCAAAAAAAAAAAACTTTTGGAAATCCAAATCTATAATGCGGTGATTCAAAAATGTGGTCCTGCATCAAGATTTGCGAAAAATTCGTTATACAAATCGAAATCGCGAAAATAATAAAAATTGCGAAATTTCATGTTATCGATTTGAAAAAATGGTGGCAGTTTACGAAAAAATTAAGTAGAAAACAACATTTGGAAATCTAAATTTGGAAATAAAAATTCTTTGTATAATTTTCGAAGGTGCTGAGAAAATGATTAAAAATTTCAAACGGGAGGATATTGAAAAATTGAGCTTTTGGAAACGTTACCTAAAAATCCATAAAAAATTCTGGGGTATAGATCTCGACGAATTGATTCGCAAAATATGGAGTTTGTATGGTCCTGGACCAAGATTCACGAAATATTCGCTATGAAAATGCCAATTTTTTAAAAACTCTAAAAATTGCGAAATTTCATGTTATCGATTTGGAAAAATGGTGACAATTTTCGACGAAATGAAGCCAAAAAAAAAACTTTTGGAAACCCAAATCTATAATGCGGTGATTCAAAAATGTGGTCCTGCATCAAGATTTGCGAAAAATTCGTTATACAAATCGAAATTTCGAAAATTCTAAAAATTGCGAAATTTCATGTTATCGATTTGAAAAAATGGTGGCAGTTTACGAAAAAATTAAGCCGAAAACAACATTTGGAAATCTAAATTTGTAAATAAAAATTCTTTGTATAATTTTCGAAGGTGCTGGGAAAAAGATTAAAAATTTCAAACGGGAGGATATTGAAAAATTGAGCTTTTGGAAACGTTGCCTAAAAATCCATAAAAAATTCTGGGGTATAGATCTCGACGAATTGATTCGCAAAATATGGAGTTTGTATGGTCCTGGACCAAGATTCACGAAATATTCGCTATGAAAATGCCAATTTTTTAAAAACTCTAAAAATTGCGAAATTTCATGTTATCGATTTGGAAAAATGGTGACAATTTTCGACGAAATGAAGCCAAAAAAAAACTTTTGGAAATCCAAATCTATAATGCGGTGATTCAAAAATGTGGTCCTGCATCAAGATTTGCGAAAAATTCGTTATACAAATCGAAATTTCGAAAATTCTAAAAATTGCGAAATTTCATGTTATCGATTTGAAGAAATGGTGCCGAAAACAACTTCTGGAAATCTAAATCTGTAAATAAAAATTCTTTGGGTAATTTTCGAAGATGCTAGAGAAAGGTGAAAAATTTCAAACGGGAGTATATTGAAAAATTGAGCTTTTGGAAACGTTTCCTAAAAAGCTATAAAAATTTTGGGGTATAGATCTCGACGAATTGATTCGCAAAATATTAAGTTTGTATGGTCCTGTGCCAAGATTCACAAAACATTTGCTATGAAAATGCAATTTTTTTTAATTTCAAAAATTGAAAATTTCATGTTGCCGATTTGGAAAAATGGTGGTAATTTTCGTTGAAATGAAGCCGAAAATAACTTTTGGAAGTTGAAATCTATAATGAGCTGATTCGAAAATGTGGTTCCGAATCAAGATTTGCGAAAAATTCGTTATAAAAATCCACATTTCGAAAATTTTAAAAATTGCGAAATTTCTTGTATTCGATTTGGAAAAGTGGTGGCAGTTTACGAAAAAATTACACTGAAAATTACTTCCGGAAATTTAAATCTGTAAATAAAATACTTTGGGTAATTTTCGAAGGGGCTGGAGAATAGGATAAAGGAAAAAATTAAGCTTTTCGAAACGTTGCCTAAAAATTCATAAAAATTCCGGGCTACAGATCTCGACGAACTGATTCGCAAAATATAGAGTTTTTATGGTCCTTGAGCAAGGTTTATGA